TGAGATTTCTTTCGCTAAGTAGAGATGTTAGAAAAGAAGGAGAAAAGAAAAAGAAAAAGAAGAAGAAAAGAAGAAGAAAAGAAGAAAAGAAAGGAAATGGAGACCAAAAAAGACCAAAAAAGCTCCTTCTGCCCCTATGATTCTCCCATGGATTTTCTATTGTACTGTATCACGTAGATCTTGACAAAATGTATGTCTTCTGTTGCTGAATAACATTAATACCTTCATATGTTCTGAGGTCTTCGGGGTCTGAAAACTTTCAAGTGGCACAAAAAAACTTTTAGGTTTACACAAAGAACTTTTTAAAAACTAACTCTGGTAGAAAGGCTCCTTGCTGCGCTTACCCTCCTATATTTTATGTTTGTTTCAGAAGTGAATAATTTCAGTATGGGGTTTTTTTTCTGCCTTCTTTATAATGGCGTTGCTTTATCTGAGTTTGAAACAGAAAAAAGCAACTAAAAGAAGCAGTTTTGCAAATGATGCTCAATTATGGTTCTGAACCTCTGTTTGCTCAGCTAGGCTTCATTGATCTTTCATTTAAATTTAGAATGCATTCCTTTAACAATGTAGATGGGTTTGCTTTCTCGTTTGTTTTTGTGGGTTTTTTTTAAAAGCTTGTTTTGCTTTGCAGCAGTTAACATTAGAATCTATTAAAAATGTTAGTAAATGAACCAAAATTTAGCTGGATGGCATCCAGATACTGTTTGTAGATCCTTGGTTGTAATCACTTGGTTGGTTCCTGTGGGCATCCAGCTGGAGACTGAATAGAATTAATGTCTTCCCCAACTTGTTTCTCCAGAAAGACTGTGTGGTTTTCCTCCCTCCTTCTTTTTCTTAAAAAAAAACCATCCTCCGAAATGAAAACAAAATAATGCTGTAGGAGCACAGCATCACTTGAAAAAGAATCATTTGTTAGCACTTGTTATGTATGTCCTTAGAACATTTTTGTTGTGTCAAGGGGGGAGTATCTGATATTAAATGCAGGCTTTGCTTTAATTAGCTGCACGCTCATACTTTAATACAGCATAATGTATTTACAATTTGATAAGACAGGAGATAGAGCTGATTAGCAGTTTAGGGAATTAATCCTTCACTGAATACCTTGTACTTGCACTGATCGTGAGAGCTGTTCTGAAGCTCCTTATATTTAAAATTGTAATCTGTAATATCTCCTAAACCAGCAATTTTTCAAAGTTAATTATAAGTCAGTCAGCAGTTGTGGGTAATTATATGCAGACTTACTTTTTATCTTATATTTGTTGGTGAATAATATATCAAATAACTTAGTGTGCACACTGTAATCTGCATCACCCACCTAATGTATTTATTAATCTGAAAAAGGTAGAGTGAAATGTGATCAAAGGAGCACGAAGAATACACCCCACTACTTGTTCAGGGACTGCTACCAAGATTGCAGCACAAATCACACGATGGACCTTCCTCTCTGTCCATCCATCCCCAGGATCACTGATGTCAATGAGAGCCTTCCTGTGGCCATTAAAAGGCTTTGTAAGAAGCTCTGTGGGCCACATCCTCTTATCCTGCAGCCACATAAACCAGCTGCAGAGCTGGAGAGGGTTTGCTGAGCAAGGATGGGGTGTGCAGATGTGGGGCCTCATAGCAGTGTACTCCATTTCTCTTTGTCCCAGCGGGGCTTCTTTACACAAATACTATTTCTACTGTCGGTTGCACAGGATAATAGGATTTGGCCCTCTGCGTTAGAGTAATACCCATTAACCATGATATTTTCATTCATCAATTCATCCTAATGGGGATAATCTGTACGTATCGGGGGAGCAGGGGAGGTTAACGCCGGCTTCTCGGAGTCAGCTGCCAGAACACAATTACTGTACAATACGTCTCAGGTAGCCTCACAGGAGGTAGTGTTACAGGGTAATGAGGGTGAGCTTAACTTCTGAAATACCCGGTCGTTTCCAAGATTTATTAAAGTCTTAAGTCAGTTTTTACCCCATTTCGAAGCACTCCATTAATAAAAAATACCTATAGCAAAGTGCACAGACTGCCTTTACAAAACATTCAGCGTCTCAAAACAGTAGCTTTAGGCAACATAACATTTTCTTTTTCTTTTCAACCTAAGTTAGAGCCCTCTGGCACTGTGTTTTGTCCTTTGGAGGACAAAATAGGCAGCAACAAAGTAGTTGTAACTGTCCTGTGACACAGAAATGCAGCAAAACTTGAGAGAAAACAATAACATGAACTCACTGGTGAATCCAGGAGAAAAAACTAGTTAATGCTAATAATGCTCGGTAATCTAGAAGGTAATCTAACAGATATCCTAAGCTTAACATCTTCTGCTTGAACCTGTTACTTGCATGTCGTTTGCTATGAAGTAGCCTCAGCTATTTCTGGGAAATGTAAAGTGAAAAGTTCATGTTGGACAGCTGGACTGAGTGGGAATGCTGAGGATTTTGACTGAGTAGAACTGAAGGAGAAGTGGTTTTATGGAACTGATATCCCCAAAGAGCCACGTGTCATTCAGCAAATGGGACAGGAAGTCAGATCACCCAAAATGCCTGGCCAAAGGCACAACCACTTAGGACGTTTGAAGTTGTATCCAAACCTGAGCTTCAAATGAGTACTAATGGAAGTAATAGGCTGTAAAAAGCGTCCAAGATCACAGAATCACAGAATCTCAGGAGTTGGAAGGGACCTCGAAAGATCATCCAGTCCAACCCCTGCCAGAGCAGGATCACCTAAACCAGGTCACACAGGAACACGTCCAGGCGGGTTTTGAATGTCTGCAGAGAAGGAGACTCCACAACCTCTCTGGGCAGCCTGACCAGTGCTCTGTAACCCAGTGCTTGTAAAAAAGTTTTTCCTCATGTTCACATGGAACCTCCCATGCTCCAGCTTGCACCCATTGCCCCTTGTCCTGTCATTGGACATCAGAGAGAAGAGCCTGGCTCCTTCCTCCTGACACTCGCCCTTTACATATTTATAAACATTAATGAGGTCTCCCCTCAGTCTCCTCTGCTCCAAGCTAAAGAGGCCCAGCTCCCTCAGCCACTCCTCATAAGGGAGATGCTCCACTCCCTCAGACACAGATAGACTCACGGAAATTTGCACCTCCCCAGATCTTCCAGCTAGGACAAACTAAGGAATTTCCAGATGAGAGGCACTGAAACACCTAAAAAGACTTCAGCTGCTACTTATAGCCAAATATTGTATTTTATACTTACTTTGGTTGTAATTCTGTGTTTTCATTTTTTGTAATTAAAGTACAATCTTCAGATCTTGTTGAGTAAACCTGTGATGACGCTATAATTAAGTCTGCCTTAAGGTGACAGGCAAGGTGAATGAGACTGAAATGGCAAGCACCAGGCAGGGTGTCTCCGGAGAGGCAGCAAGTCGGAGTGGAGCAAGATGTGCAGGCAGCTGTGAAACCAGGCTCAGGACAGGCCTGGAAAGGGCCAGCCTGGGGACTGCTGCTGCCACAGGCTGGCTTTGGGGAGAAGGTACCTGTATAATGAGCAAAGCTACGCTGCAGCTTTGGGCAGACCCAAATCGTGAAGTGTTGTGGCACGGCCACAGTTTTATCAAGTGAATAACGACGTTCGAGCCTGACACGGGAAGTTCTTGTGCCTTTGTTTGCAGTGTTATTACATGGCTGAGCAGTCAGAAAAACTGCTGCGTGTCCTGAGAGGGGCTTCTCGGCAAGTCTAATAGGCTAGACGGGAATTGCATTGATTTCGAGCCCAGAACTGACTTTTTTCCTTTCTTTCTTTCTTTTTCATTTCACAAACCACACCTAACTGCTATTGGGCAAACAGTGCACTTTGCTATTTCACAAAGGAAACCTTCTGACTTTCCCTCTGCAAGCGTAATTCTGTGAGGTGCTGAGCATCCTCAGCCCTCCCTCCCCCTGAGATTCAGTGGGAAGCAGGTTTCACTCAGTGAGCTCAGGTGCTCTACAGGACTAATTTTAATAATTAATCTATTCCTCTTTTTTTCTTTTAAGTGGTTAATCAAAGACAAGGGCTGAAATAGGAACAGCCTCCAATCATAGCGTCTTCAGGGAATAATTTCTCCTTAAAGATATTTGTAAAAGTATTTTTAGCTGTCTTAAATTCTAGAAATGTTATAGTATATTTAGGAGCAAATGGTAGGAAACTTAAAATGTGTTTATGTGAAATAGACATTTAATAAGGGAAATTATTAGGATCCCATGAAAGAAGAATTTTGTAGATATGGGCAACTACATTTATGTATCTGTATAACCCAGGATAATATCCAAGGAGCTATAAATCTGGATGAGCTAAATTTTATTGTACACGTGTGACTGAGTTTAAAGGGAGTGTTGGTGAGTGTTTGGTATATCTCTCTTGGGGACATCATCTGTGTGAAGGATCACAAGGATTTAGGACTTCAGAGTGACTTCTGGCCCCATTAAAGCAATGGCAGAACTCCTATGAAACACCAGACTCCCATTGCCTCCAGTGCTGTCAAGGCTTTACCTCCAGAAATCAGAGAGACTGATAGTCTCAAGGGATTCACAGTGGTCACTGTGTGGGTTTCACTCTGCAGATCAGCACTTGCAGTATAATGCATGCACACTGTGGTATAGAGCAGGACAGGGACGTTTTCCTGCAGCTGTGTTTTGGGGATCTCCATGGTACAGTTCCCATGCTCACAACCGTGATGTTGGTGGGCAAGATAAAGCAGGCATGCAAGGA